GAAAAAAAGCCAGGGGACCAAGAAGGCTTGGGGCATGCTGAGCCAGTGACCCAGCATGACTGAAGTCCAAAGGCTATGGACGACTTGAAAAGAAAATGTCAGTTTGGGTTAAACGGAGAAGAGCTGAGAAGCCTGGATTTCACTGAAGAAGCAATGCGGACCCAGTCCCACTTTTTGAGCAAGAAGTGACAGGAGCAAAGTCCCATCTGAGGAACGTTTCCTGATGGTGATATCCAAGAGGATCTGGGGGGGGGCAAAAGGGGAGATGGGTGATCTGCCCACCTATGTCCCCAGATCCACACATGTTGGGCTACTGCTGCTGACCAGAGGGAGCCCTCATCTCCCTGCTCACCCAGCTCTTGGGCTATGTCATTTCTAGCAACAGTAACTCCAGCACCACAGGCTTAGGATCTTAGGGACTCCTCCTCTAAATCCATTCCCTGTGTTCCACTTTATATAGCAAGTTTCTGTCCTGAGTCCTTTGGTAAGTTTCTGTCCTAGTTATCAGCTCTATTTCCTTGTTCTTTAAAAAAGGATAGGGCCGTAGGCTGAGCGCGGTGGCTCACGCCTGTACTCTCAGCACTTTGGGAAGCTGAGGTGGGCAGATTGCTTGAGCCCAGGAGTTTGAGACCAGCCCGGGCAACATGGCAAACACCCATCTCTATTAAAAGTACAGTACAAAAGTACAAAAATTAGCTGGGCATCGTGGCGTGTGCCTGTGGTCCCAGCTGCTTGGGAGGCTGAGGCGGGAGAATTGCTTGAAGCCGGGAGATTGAGGCTGCAGTGAGCTGTGATAGCACTACTGCATGCCAGCCGGGGTGACTAGGGCCCTGTTCAAGTCTTTCTGATTCCCACACCAGACACCATCTGCCCCACCTAAATACTCCTACCTGAGAAAAGAACACCCTGGTTACTGAGGCCTGCCTGAATCTTCTAATATCACTCACCTGGATGCTCTGAGATTTACCCTACCTGTTGGAACCTGTGCCACTTTGTGGTGAAATACTCATCACTCTATTTGCCTGGCTTGATACTTATAAGGTTATTATCTTGATCACTTGGGTTCCTGACAGCCTGTGACATTTCAAACCTCCTCTGTCAGCCTCACCAGCTAGGTCAGGTTCCCCTCATAGGTAGGCTTGCTGCCAGAACCCTGCCTCTCCCTGTCTTCTCTAGTGGCCTACAGATTTCTATAGCTAGCTGCAAATAAGCATAGCAAAAAAGCTATGTTGCACTAATTGAGACATTAGGTGACAGGACTAGACAACAGGAATTGACAGGATAGGCTGATGTTAAAGACTTTGCATAAGGAGAAAATAAATCAAACGTTTTAGGAACTGATAGAATGTAGAAGATGGTGAGAGCAGGAAGAGTCAAAGAACTCCATGGTTCAAAGTCTGGATGCCAAAGGAAGCCATGTCTACAGTAATAAGGATTGCTGGGGTTGGCAGGGAATCTGTTTTGGTTGGAATGCATTTATACATAGTACTTTTCCACTCCCTCTTCCTTCACTCCCTGTGTCCATCATAGCATTTATTAGTACCTCACCTGTCTAGAATGAAAGCTCCATGAGGGCAGGAACCTCACTTGCTTATTGGCTGCAGAATACCAGGCTTCCAGAACAGTGCCTGGCAGCTAGCATGTTTTCCATGGAAATACATATAGACTGTATGAATGGATTTTGAGTTAACATGTTGTTCTCAGGTAGTGCTACCCATCAGATGCTTGGGTAGATGTGCGTGGGCATTGGCTGGAGGCTGGGCCAGTTTGAGGGATGTGGGTATGGGAAAGAAGGGCACATTCAAAGCAACTGAAGGGCTAAGGCACATAGCAACCTTCCCTCAGAGGGTTAGGGGAGATGAGAAGATGAAGAGAAAAGGCAAAACAGAGAAAGAGAAGTGAAAGACAAACAAGATAATGGTAGCTTTTGTAAGTTAAGGAAGAGGTATTTTGGAAATTAAGGCAGGACTGATTATTCAGTGACAGCAAATGTTGTAGAGGTTGAAATGAATGAAAATAAGAGAATGACACTAAATTTAATGGTTAGGAGACTTGGAGTAACCTCGGTGAATACAGAACACAGAGACAGATTGTAGTGGGAAAAGGAATGAGAACGTGGGAAGAAAGTAGAGGCAGCAGAAATAGGTTAGATTTTCAGTAAGTTTGGTCTTGATGGTAATACACTATGAGAAGTTAGAGGAACAACTGTGTTTATTTAGACAGGGCGTTTGTCCTCTTACCTTTGGGGAGATATAAGCATATATAAAAATCCAAAGGAAGGATGTTTATATCCTAACCTCCCACCAAATCAAATCAAATCAAATCAAATCAAAATGGGAAAAAATGATTATGTAGGGGAAAAAAAAGGTGTAAGTGCCATTTTGAGTTCTAAATATAGGGAAGGGATAGAAGAACCTAGAGCTTAACTGGGACCTCTCATGCAGGAGAAGAAAAGCAATGAAGAGGGGTATCTGGGGGAAGTGGATGGAAAAGAGGCCTGTTCTCCTGTACTAGAATCTAAGAGCCAGACACAGAACAGCCTAAATCAGAGTCGAAGATATTGGAAACTTTCTGCTTTAAAACAAGGCTAAAGAACTGGAAGCTGGGGCATAAGCCCAGCCTGCCTTATAGGGCATGATGTCCTTTGGACATAGAACGAACATTCCAAAATACAACTGACTCAAGGACCACCAAGACAGGCTACGAATGGGACACTTCTTACCTCCAGTTACAACAGTAAACATGTTATTACAATGCATTAATAAATTAGTGTTCCATCCTGTCTACTACCAATTAAGAACTCCTATAACAGAAACCCATTCTAGGAAAAGTGGTATTTATCACTGTGCGGCAGAACACAATAAGGTTCATATCCATGTGAATACCAACCCAGGAGTTTAAGAGAAAGACAAACATAGAAGACTTACTTTTCTTGGAAGAAATGAACTTTCTTTTTTATCTCAAGATATGGTGGGTCTTGCCTAAGGTGTACTTCATTGATTATCAGACAGCCAACAGCCCTGATCATATCCAAACAGCTCGATTCCACTGCTTGAGATAATTTTTTAAAGAAGAAAATAACTTTCTCTTGGTTATATCCAAATACTAGTTTTGTGCAAAAGTAATTGCAGTTTTTTGCCACTAAAAGTAATGGCAAAAATCACAATTACTTTTGTACCAACTGAATATATCTGTTTTCCTCTAGATATGACATCTTTCTCCAATGTGAAAAAAAAACTAACATACGATACACCGTTTTGTAACTTATGTTCGTTTTCGTACCTTACATCTGGAGCCCTGCTCCCATCTTGGGTAGTCTTGGTAACGTGAAGAGCCGGATTCTCCCAATGCTTAAGCACATGTGAGAGGGAGGCACTTGAAGAAGGCCAGTGAGGTTTCTTCCATGACCAAAAAACAGGAGAACAAGATGCCCAGCCAGGGACTGGAAGGAGTCAAAGGTGTAAGGGTGTCTCTGGGGACCAATAACAGAATCTAGAACTGAAGCACCTCCGAGTTCAGCACATTCAACTCCCTGATTGTGCAGGTGAGAAAACTGAGGCTGATCGCCCCTGTTCAAAGTCGCCCAGTCAGGTGTCCTCACACAACACAGCACCCTGTCCCTCACCTCTCACCACCTCCTAACCCAGAAAGCCACTTAGGTACTGAAGAGCACCCAATAACCAAACCAGCATTATTTTCCCCTAAGCCAAGTTTCTCTTCTTTCTCTATCTTCTTATTACAGAAATTTTCCAATATTTATAAGCAGAGAAATGAGAATAATAACCACCATGGACCCACTGCCCAGCTTAAACAACCCATTGCCAGTCTTCCTTTATCTTAAGCTTACCTACCTCACCCTCCTCCAGGATTATTTTGAAGCAAATTCCAGGTAGCTTATCATTATTTCTTGTTAAATATAAAATGCTCAAACAAACTATATAGCTGCAAATGCATCCGAAACAATTTTCTTTGGGGAGCTTTGATGCTCCTATTCCATACCCTTGCATTGCGTGTGGTATTTTTAATTTCATTTCACAGCTCTAGAACAAAACCCTAGCTCTTATCTTAGTACAGACCAATAAGATACGCTCTGTGTCCCTGTACATCCACTAACAATATTAGACTGTGTACAACGAGGAATTCTGATGAAGGCATTGCCTTGGACAGTAAGCATGGGGAACGTTGAACTTACTAAACACTTTTCTATAATAGACACAGTACACTCACACTGGCACTTGTTTAAATTGGGCTGAATTCTGGCCTGAGATTTAAAGCCAACTTCGTCCATGAGTCGATATGAAAGGCACTAAGCAACGTAACTCCTTAAGGTTTAACAAATCTACAAACTAAATTAACAACCAAACATTTTCACACCAATAGGGTTATGCCTCTACTCTCTTAAGACAGAGACCATTTATTTGTCCTAAGGATATAATAGAAATCTAAAATCAAATAAAACAAAATTTTTCTTTCATATAGCCATTTAATCTTTCCTAAAGAATAAATATATCAAAAAAGACATTTTTAAAAAAAGTTTTAATTAATGAACAAGACTGTACTACTAGTTAAATAATGTTACATGTATAGTAGTATAGTCTACTAGTTAAATATGTATATATTAATATAAATAGTACAGTCTAACTAGTTAAATATATATGTAACATCATGTGTATATAAAAATGGATACCTGCCATCATAATGTTGATGAATAGCATTTCCACTTATCATTTTCTACTATTTCATTCCCTTGCCTCACCCATCCATTTTTTATATAAATTTACAAATATATATTTTTAAATGAGAATATATTAGAAAGTTAAGGTCAGTACAAAAAGAAGGCAAATCAGAACTCTTAAGTTGTTTCATCCATAAAATAAAAAATTCATTTCAAATATGGATTAAATTTTTTCTGGGAAAAAACACACTGTAATACATAATTTTCTACCTTTTAAACCATTTTACGATTTATCCCATCTTCTAACAAGTTATGATACTCATACCTGCTGAGGTTTCTCTAAATTTGTCGCTGGTCTTCTTTTTCCTCCATTTCCAAGGCTTAAAGATTTTACCAATGGTGGATAGTTTCCCCTTTCTCTTGAAGGGAGGTGTTTGGGAACCTGCTGTGGGGCCATCTGAGTTTGCTATAGAAGCTTTGTCCAGTCCATCAACTGTATAAAGAAAGATATAGACAGAGAAAGGTTGTAAAAAAGGTTTTAATAAAACAACATCATCGATTGGTTCCTGGGCTGTTAACGGTAAGCACATCCACTCTAATTGGAATCTTACATAAAATTTACTTGTCCCATTTCACAGCTGGTAGGACTACCCTCATATCAATCAGTAAACCAGTCAATCAGAAATTACAGCCAACTTAGAAAATCATTCTGGGGAAACAGACTAGAAACAAGAGACTTACATTATAGATGGGGCCAAATGAGTGTCTGCAACACAGCTAAATCCATCTGCAACAACCCTATCAACATTTTGTACAGGAATAGAGTATTCTAAGTATTTCTGAAATAGGATGTTCCTCCAGAGACTAGTTTGACATTCTCAGTAATGAATATTACAGTTATGGTGTAGTTAAAATCATGGTTTCTCTTTCACAAAATAAAATTTGGTGCCAGGAAGCTAAATTCTATTTTTACAATGCTAAAACTATCTTTTGCTTTTATTACAAAAAAGGTTTTGAGCTTCAAAGAAACTGATAACTACACTAACCACAAGAAATATGTGGAAAATTTGGGTACTGTGTGTGATAAAAACATGCTTTTGTATGTCTTCACTATTTTATTTATCGGAAGAAATGCACAAAATCTTAAGTTGCCTTGCTTGCACTGTGTTCTAGGCTGATGGAAGATAGCAATGACTTATGTTACACCAACTATCAAATTTTAATGGCAAAGAACTGGAAGCAGGCCAGAATGGATGGACTATAATATTATTCCATCAATAAAATAGTACTTGAAATTATGGCAAAAAAAAAAAAAAGGAAAAATCAAAACAGTAGTTTCTTCTTGGAGGCAGAAATTACCTGAGAAGAAACTTGAGGGAACATATAGGGGTGATGGAAATTATCTCAGCAATGGTTGGATGACCCAAAACTCATTAAATGGAATTTACAATTTCTTGCATTTCACTTTATGTAAAATTTACCTTTAAAAAAGCATAAACAGACAGTGAAGTCTAATTAATGACATGTATGCTGAAGTGTTTAGAGGTGAAGTGTACTGATGTCCATCAAAAATAATAAATGGATAGATAGATGGAATAGGCAGATGGATAAAAGCACAATAAAGTAAAATAGAGCAAAATGTTAAGTGTTGAATCCAGCTGGTAGATATGTATATGGGGCATGATACCAATTCTTTTATCTTCTCTGTATTTTTAAAACTTTCTTAATATAATATTGGTAATAGTAAAACAAATAAAAACAAAAATTGAACAGCAAGGACTTCTGCTTCCAAGAAGATAAAACAGACTTACTTTTTCTTTTTGAGACAGAGTCTTGCTCTGCCGCCCAAGCTGGAGTGCAGTGGCGTGATCTCAGTTCACTGCAACCACCGCCTCCCGGGTTCAAGCAATTCTCCTGCCTCAGCCTCCCAAGCAGCTGGGACTGACTACAGGTGCATGCCACCACGCCCGGCTAATTTTTGTATTTTTAGTAGAAACGGTGTTTCACCATATTGGTCAGGCTGGTCTCGAACTCCTGACCTCAAGTGATCCACCCATCTCAGCCTCCCAAAGTGCTGGGATTATAGGCCTGAGCCACCACACCCAGCCCAAACTTACTTTTTCTTATTCCTCTGGCTAAATAAAACTTAAAACACACACACACACACACACACACACACACACACACACGGATGTTACATATAAATGTAAGAAAATTCTGTAAGGCCAAGAGAAGGTAGACAAGCCTGGGACCTCAGAACCCAAGAAACAACAAGGTGGTGAGATTCCTGGGTTTTCTTTTTGCCTCAAATATCCCAGACACATAGCTGAAGAAGTCAGAAACCTCTAAAGGCCAACAAGCATGGAAGCCAGCAACCCAGAAACACCAATGGGCACAGACCACAAGCATCTTCACTCTCTAGCCACATAACCAGGAAAGGGGCAGAGTAGCAAAATAAGAAACTTTTAGACAATAACTGCTCTACTACAGCCAAGCACCATGGAAGAACCTGTGACCATGCATACTAGCAAAGGCTGAATGGAGTTACTAGATTTCCACCCTCATACGGCTCTGAAAAAGAGCCCTAATATCCCCACTAGGGTGGTGTCAGAGAAGACCAAGCAGGAAACTAGCACCTTTATGCCTGGCGGCTGATAATGAAGCATCTTCCACAGTGTCAGTGGAGACCATGTAGGAAGCCCTGACATCCATCCCTTCCCAGCAATAACTGGGTATCTCTCCCCTCCCCCCAAAACAGAGGTGGTCAAATCATTGCACACTAGGAACAAGACCACTCCAACTGTGATATCAAGGGAGATCACATGGGGATCCGGAAATTCTACCTGTGCCCAACACTAACAAGGACACCCCACACACATACATAGTGTGTCAACAGAGGACAAGTGGAGAACTGGGATTTTTTACCTCCAGTAGGGGTGACAAAGTGGCACCCACTGCTTCCCCTGCTATAGAGGTGTCAGACAATGCCAATTAAAACAGAAGGTTTCAAACAAGATCTAGAGTCACATAACATAATACAAAAATGTCCAAGTTTCCATCAAAAATCACTTGACGCACTAAGAACCAGGAAAATCTCAAACTGAATGAAAAAAGACAATCAATAGACATCAATTCCTAAATCCTTATGAGTTCTCCTTCCAAACAAATAGGAATAACTCCTGTTCCTCCCACTAGTGAAGTCTACTGTAATTTCAGGTACTACCTGGGCAGAGATGGGCAGACACTGCGCATTGCTAGGGAAAATTGGAGATTCAAGTCCTGCGCTGACTGATTCTGCTGAAAGTGGTTCCTAACCCTACTTTCAGCCATAGCACAACAGATAGAGATACAGGAGACAGACTGATTTTGAAGCTAATTCAGAGTAAAGGAGCAAAATATTTATTACTTCAATTCTACTCCTGTCCAACTTCCCTCCTTGAGCCAGAGTGCAAACCCAGAGGGGAACTGAGAGTATGGTTTTACTTCTTCATGAAGACTTTCCGCTGAACTCTCATGTAAGGGCTTAACTTTGAACAACTTAAACGTTGTAAAATATAAAAGGGCTGATTATTATGAACATAGAAAATGAAAGTTTCCATCTCAAATTCATCTCTGTGGTTACATGTCTAGTTTTCATTTTCTTACAATCTAGTGGGATCTTTCTCTCCCAACCCACATATCCAGTTCCCTGATGCTCCATAAAAATTCTACTTTTTCTCTGAAGCAATTAAGAACAGCCTATTTTTCCCCTATCATAAACCACACTTGCAATTAGAAACCATATGTTGGCACAGTTGGCCAATGTGCCATTGTACTTCTCTTAAATCATGAATGTGAGGACCACTGTCACCCGCTTTTGAGTAGCATGGGAAGAATATTAACTCTCTTCTTTAGATACACAGGACACTGGCATTGCTATGATATTTCTGTAATTTTGCTTGTGGATCAGTTTTCCATTAAAATCCATTTGAAACTTTCCATAAATTATTTCACAGTAAGTCTGGTGAATTTTGCATTTACATGCAGATAAAAACAAATTGCCAGGTAAATCCCAGATGAAAGGTAAAATTTCCTGATTGCTTCCAATGTTAATTTTGGTCCACTTTTATGTTACTAAGAGTAACTTGTCATTCATCAGAACTTATGTTTTCACACTTGAGTTCTACATTTTAAAACACAGCATATTTTGAAATACAGTCATTAGCTAATCAAATGTAGACACTTTAAATGACACAGCTCAGTCTATCTTCCCACTGAAACGAGCCCACACCTAACAGAATTTCCCTGCACCAGCAATTGCTAAGAAATCAGAAAATACATACAGGTTTTATTTTTTATTTAAACAGAAATGTATCAATTAGGCAGTCCCAGCACAAATGTGACCATGTAAGCCAAAAATAAACGAGGCTAGATAATTATCATATTGATAGGGTTTAGATATGAATCCCCACCCAAATCTCATGTCAAATTGTAATCCTCAGTGTTGGAGGTGGAGCCTGGTGGGAGGTATGGATCATGGCGGCTGAGTTCTCACGAATTGTTTAGCACCGTCCCCTCTTGATACTGTATAGTGGGTGAGATCACATGAATTCCAGTTGTTTAAAAGTGTGTAGCACCTCTCTCTCTCTCTTCCTCCTGCTCCAGCCATATAAGACATGCCTGCTTCCCCTTCACTCGGTGCCATGATTGTAAGTTTCCTGAGACTTTTCCAGAAGCTAAGCAGAAGCTAGCCTGCAGAACTATGAGCCAATTAAACCTCTTTTCTACATAAATTACCTAGTCTCTGGTATTTCTTTACAGCAGTACGGGAACAGACTAATATACATATGAAATAAATTGTAGGTTTGAATAGTCTTCCCTTTGAGATTTGATAAATAAATGATAGGGATTCTTAGAAAAATTGAATCTACTTAATAGAGTTCATTGTATGTTTATACTATTTAATGGTTATGATATTTTTGATATCAATTTTTCCCCACACATAATTATTTCAGGCACTGAGAAACTGAGACAGATGTGGCATAGTATTACGACTCACAAATGTTGTAGCTGAAAGACCACTTAGAAAAGAATCTCCGTAAAAGAACTCCTGGTACTAATTTCGTACAAACTGACAGCCGCCCTGCAGAAAACAAGTAGGTGGTAAAAAACATGGTCTCAACTTTTCTCCAAATACCCTTAAATATCTGAAGGTCGATGAGAATGCATTTTTGAAGCCCAATTGTAGCAAAAATAACTAGGAGAAATCGTGTGTGGTAAATAATGCTTTGATAACACTCTGCTGTGTATGCTTTAAGAAAGTTAAAAAAAAAAACCAAGCATATCAAACTTTATTTACTTAAAATATAGTTTCCAGGCTTTGTTACTTTTTGTGCTTTGTTATGTTTTTACAATATTAAGATTATCTGTGTATATTTTTATTTCTATTACTGTTTTCATATTTCTATTATAATTCTGTCACTTTCCCCTTTAAAACCCACAGAACATATGGCA